CGCTGTTCTGCTGGCAGCTGAAAGGGAATTTTCGGGCATTTGTAGCGTCGCTGCACCTTTCGGGAAATAGGTAATAAATAAACAAGTTAACTAATTAATTAATTAATTAATTAAAAGGATGGAGATGTGCACATACTTATTCTTTATTTTATCTCTTACTTAAACAAAAAATAAATAATAAATCCAAAAAATTAAACTTTGCCCCAACTGCGGTGTACGTACACCACAAAGACTCGTAGAAAGTCTCTTAATTAAATTTTTAATTTCTTTTAAATGCAGGAAAGCCATTTACATGGATAATTATATTTTAATTGTATTTTTAAATTGTTGTAAATTAATTAACAATAGTAATAATAATATTTCAAATAATAATAAATGAACTATAAACAAATAATAAATTAATCAAAAATGAAGTTTAATTGCATTACGAAACAAGGCAAATAAATGACAAATAAGTAACCAAAAAATAAAATTGGAATAATAAAAAAGAAATAAAAACATTTGAATTTATTCAAAACTTAAAATTTGATTTACAAAAACATTTAAATTTATTCAAAGTTTAAAAGTCAATTTTAAAAATAAGCAAATCCAAAAATGAAATTTAATTTTAAATGAAAGCACTTTTGAGTGAATTTGGCGGAAATGTCTTTAAAGTGAATTTCGTTTGTCTTGAAAAAGTTTTTATTTAAATGAATTTAACTAAAAACTTTTAATGAATCAATTAATTAAAATTGAATTGCATTAAGTTAATTGCCATTAATTGATTATTAATTCAATTTAATTTCATTAAATCAATTACATTTAACTAACTACACTTGATTAAATAGAAGCATTATAATTAATTATTTTTATTAAATTAGATTTAATTAAGTGCATTTTTCAGTTGCATTTAATTAATTGGAATTATTTAAATGCATTTAATTAAAGACATTTAAATTAGTTGTATTTTATACAATAAAATGTAATTAAATATATTTATTTAATTTCATTAAACACACATAACTAAATGCATTTAAATATATTTACTCACAGAAATAAATAATAATATTTGATTGGAAAATAAAATAAAATAAATTTCAAGAAATGGATTTATTTGTTTTTTTTTGAATTTAAAAGTATTTCTTTTTGTTTATAAATAAATGCAAAAAGAAAGAAATTCGTTTTTTCAGCTTGCAAAAGAAAAGTTCTTGGGGCCCCAAAACCTAAACCCTAAACCCCAAACCCTAAACCCTAGACCCTAAACCCTCGGCTTCGCCAGTCGGCCGCGGTGGCGCGACCGAAGGGGCCTGCCCGCGGCGCGGAAACCTGCACGTCGCTATTCGCCAAAATAGGGTTTAGGGTTTAGGGTTTAGAGGGCCGGTGACTTTGAAGGGTTTACAGTCGCGGGGCCTCTCCAGCCGCTGCTGCAGCATTGCGTTGTTCTTCTTCCTGCGCCATCCAAACCCCAAACCCTAAACCCTAAACCCTAAACCCTAAATCCTAATCTCGTCAAGCCTCCCATCACGCGTCAAAAACCCTGATTAGGGTTTAGGGTTTCGTGTTCCCCGATCGTAGAGCGCTAGTCCATTAGCGCCTGCGAGCCGCCTCCAGACCGCCTTAGGGTTTAGGGTTTAGGGTTTAGGGTTTACGACTACGGGCTGGAAGTAAGGGTGGTTTAGCGCGTCGCGGGGCAGAATTCTTTGCTGGTGGTCGTATATCAACATTTTGTCCAGCAAGTCCACCGCCTCGGGAACTGCGAGGGTTTTGTTTTCTTCATTTATAAATCTTGTCCAGCTTTTTTTGGAGTGTTTGCCAATAAGCTGCAGGAAGTTCTTTTCCAGTTCCAAGTCGTACTTCTCGAGGTAGGCGTACAAACCCTCGGTCCCTGCAAACCCCAAACCCTAAACCCTAAACCCTAAACCCTAGGCCCCCGGCGAGCACGCGCGCCGGCCAGGCGGCCACGCCGGTGCACGCCCCGCACCTAAACCCTAAACCCTAAACCCTTCAGGCCGCTAAGTGCCAGCCAATGCGGTCACCCGCAAGGCCAAACCGCTGCAAACCCTAAACCCTAAACCCTAAACCCTAGAACCGCCTGGGTGCCACAACTCTCCAACACATACTAACCACAAAGTCCACCCCGTAGGGTTTAGGGTTTAGGGTTTAGGGTTTACGGCTTACCCAACACCCTCGCAATCTTCACCAGTTGGTCGTAATTGTCGTGTCCGTAAAAGAAAGGCTCCTTCCGGAAAATCTGAAAAACACAAGGAAGGCTAGGGTTTAGGGTTTAGGGTCTAGGGTTTGGCGCTTAAGGTTTGGGGTTTAGGGTTTCCAGCTCGACCCCCAGGCTCCCCCAAAACTCTAAACCACCACGTGCGCAGGAGCTGGCAAATGCTTGCACCCAGCTCCAGACCCCCAAACCCTAAACCCTAAACCCTAAACCCTAAACCCTAAACTCTCGCTCACAATGCCCGCCAGCATGCAGCCTAAACTCCATATGTCAAGAGAATAATCATAAACCTGC